TTTTTGTATTTTTAGTAGAGACAGGGTTTCGCCATGTTGGCCAGGCTGGTCTTGAACTCCTGACCTCAGGTGATCCACCTGCCTCAGCACATTCTACTCTGAATGAACTCTAAATCAGAATTTGTCTCATCTTGTTCAAGGAAATTTAGCATAAGACCTAATAGAAAATACTGTTGAATAAGTGAAAGATATGTAACCCTGAAGACTTAAGAGGACAAGCACACATCCCTGAAAGAAATACTCTAGAATCTTGAAAAAGTGTATGTAGAAACTGGTATCCACAATGTGATGCTAGAAAGTAACCCCTCATGAAACAGTGAATGGAGGCCGTAAGAGAAGATAAAGTTTATTGGAAGACAACAGGATGAGATAAAAATGGAAATGGATAAAATATGTAAGGACTGCAAGTAAACTACAAACATAATAGCAGAATTAAACTTCACTGTAGAGATTACGTTAAATAAAGATGGTGACATAGAATCCCAAACTGATAAGCTCTCCCACAGGAAAATCAAAAAAGAAATCAAAATGTTGTGAAAGAAGATAATAGATACAGACAACAGAGAATGGAAACCCAAAATAAGCTGTGCTCCTGAAAAAGAGGACAAAATAAATGGAACACAAATAGTAATCAAATTAATATATGGAAATTTTGTGGAGCTGAAAACATAACCTGTATGCAGATGGCAAGTGCCTGTTCTACCCCAATGAAAGAAGACATCTCTGCCTAAATAAATATTAAGAAAACTACTAATTTAGTTAAAAGATAAACATTTTACAAATGTCTAGATACAACTGACAGAAAAGAAAACAAGCAAATAATGCATAAGCAAAAATAAGGCTGGTGATATTCTTCTCCTGTTTAACCCTGAAAGTCAGAAGACAATGGAGCAATGTCTGCTGAGTATTCAGAGCCTTTCACAAATGAATAAGAGAGAAAGAGATCTTTGGGTATTCACACTGTAAAATTTACTGAAACATATCCAAAATGATTAAGGTATAAGTAAAAATGGATAGTTGAAGCGTGGGAAAATCATGGTTAAATGGCTAACCATTTTAGGTCTGGAAATAAAGAAGTCACGTGTCTTGATAGTTATATTTTTTATTATCTCAAATGTAAATTGGGAGGATATTTGGAAAGAGATGTAATAGAAAATAGCAATTTAGTAACATTTACTCTGTGCTAAAGCCCAAGACTGATTACACTAAATAGCATTTATTAGATTATATGGAGGAAACACTGTAAGAGATACAGAATAGTAAACGCAAACTCCATTAATTCAGCTTAACACAACCCGCCTCTCAGTTTTTGATAACTCAGGAAGGACAAGAACAAACATAGATACAGGGGATCTAAATGATTTAATGAATAAAGTATATTTAATAAATTTCTAATAAACTTTGTAGCCTCTTGAGACTTTGTTGTCTTTTCTAGTATCTCTGAATCTTTAGAAATTGACGAAGGAAATGCAAAAAAACTCAAAAGTAACAATCCTACAGTCTGCACTCTCTTACCACAATGCAATTGAACTAAGACTTTAAAATAAATGTTTAGTAAAAGAAGAGACTTGAAAATGAACAATAACAGTAGCAACAGCAGTACAGTCCTAGTATGTCAGGGCTTTTGGAATCCTTGCTCCCTATCATCGTGGAGTTGCCTCTAGTGTTCTGTGGTTATCATAAAAACAAATTTTGTAATTATCCACTTGCATATTTTCTTATTTTTTATCCTCTCAGGAGCAGCACAGGAAGAGTTTCTTAAGCTTATCTAAAAGGTGTCCATTTTGGGACCAATTATGATGTAGTTCAAAATCCACTCCTCCTCCTCACATAGCATTTTCAGCATTCTCCAAACATACTTCAATAAACATCCAAATAAAAGGGTAGAATTTGGAGGGAAGGAGTAGGGATGATTGGAGACACATTATTAGAGAAGAGGACAAATCAACATTCTACCATTTATTTTTGTTCTGGATGGTATCTTCTCCCCTCTCCCCCCTTTTTTTTTTCCTGATATTTTATGTTCTTCAGCGTCTGCCTGTTCTTAGTCGTCTGCTTGGGCTGTCATAACAAAATACTGTAGACAGGGTGGCTTAAACCACAGAAATTAATTTTCTTATAGTTCTGGAAACTAGGAAGGCTAAGATTAAGGTGCCAGCCAATTGAGTTTCTGGTGAGGACCCTCATTCTTTGCCTATCTCATGTTTCTCACATGTTCTTTCCCTGGGTGTGAGTGGAGAGAGAAAGATATCTCTCCTATAAGGTCACCAGTGCTATCAGATTAGAACCCCATCTTCATGACCTCATTTAGTCTTAATTATCTTCTAAAAGCCTATCATCAAAAACAGTCACACCAGAGGTTAGGGCTTCAACATATGAATTTTGTGGAGACACAATTCAGTCCATTGTAAGCAAATATCAAAATTGCCTAATTTCTTAGGATGCTGGTTCAGACCTATTGCATCCAAATTCCATAAAATGATGGCTGTTCCGTGAAAGCTGAATGGAAACCACAGTGATTCTCTTCAAAGAGAAACCAGAAGCAGGGAAAGGTAGGCCTAGTCAGTTCTGCAGGGTCCTGGGATCACGATACTAACCCATTTTACTTTTACAATGTTATCAACAGAAAGTAGAGAGCAGGCATTTATTTATTAATTTATACTTTTAATCCTTTAAAATAGTATAGAAACATTAGGGGAAAAACCCTAAAAGCTAAACTTGGTAAAGGGCTCAAAGAACCATTATAATGGTCAATCTTTTAATAATGGGATGAAATAGTTCAGTATTATTCATGGCTCTAGGATGGTCATTCTTGATAGAAAATAAATTTACTTTTAAAGTCATTCAACAAAGTTATGAATAATTTCATGATATTAGACTGATATTTACATGGGAATTTCTCCACTCAGATGAGAATGATATACTCTAAACATTTGTTTCATTTTTAAAATGAAGTTTGAAAAGGTAGAGTTAGGGATGGAAATGATACATTGGCCAGCTTCATAGTTCCTGAAAAAGATTGTCTAATTCTGAAGATTAGTTGGGCAAAATACTTTTGACTTCTGGAACAGTTGGGTACTCTTTCTTTTAAATGTTAATGTTACAGAAAACTTTCAGTGGCTGAGAAGACTAAAAGTTGCTGTCTGAGGGGCAGATATGATTGATTTAATACGATTTGTGAATGATTTGATGTCTAAATACCTTGAAAAAGTAAATAGTAATACACAAACAAAAAAGTTAAAGTTTTAAAAAATATCACAGTGAGTTCTTACTAAGCTCTTACTAAGAATTCTTAAAGTTTTTTCACTGATAGTTTAACAAATATCAGGAAAGAATGCTACTCATAATAGCTATAAGGTTCATTACTTACAGCTAAAGGCCAGAATGACTGTTAAGCCGATCATTATGAATCTGCCTGTGAAAAGAGAAGAAAAAGAAAGAAGATAATCAGTGAACAAACTAAACAACGAACAAAAAATTCAGTTGGTATGAAATTACTGAAAATCCCAGAGGGTCTCATTATCATTTGACATAAATTATCATTCACAAACTGTTTAACAAAGAACTGCTAAAATGAGCATTTGTCTTCTTTTGCAAATGAAATTAGAATTTAGTGAAAGGATGCTGTAAATCTCAGGGTTAGAGAAGTAAGGAAAATTTTCAAACACAAAAGCTGTGTTTTTGAATCATTTGTATTTTATGGTGTGTGTGTGTTTATGTGTGTGTATGAGACAATAGCATAGGTTATTTGGTGGTTAAAGAGGTTTGGTTTTTAATTGCATTCGTTATTTTGTAGGAGTTGAAGTATCTTGTAAGGGCAGGTTGGTTAGGAATTGCTCCGCATTTTCATGATGTGATAATTAGCACCCAGGATTCCAATTTCTCCATTCAAAATGAGGGGTTTAGACCTAGATGATTTTCAAGGTCTTTTAGGGAGCACAGAGTCTATGGTTACTCAACTACTCATTGTGCTTCCTAGTCCTTAACAGAGCCCTTGACTCTATTTTCCCTGCAAACTCAATGAGAAGCCATTAAAAGTGCCGTCTGGAGGTTCTAGGCATATGTCTCAACCATGCATGAAAGCAGTGATGCTCCAAGGACATTTGTCTGTCGGAGCACAGCAAGGTCAGAATTGTCTACTCAGTCCTCCAAGGCCTGCTGTATCTGGTATGTTACCAGGCCAGCTCTTAACATCTCTATCTAATAATAGATCTTTGATTTTTGTTTTTGAAGCCACAATGCATAACTTTTTTTAAAAAACCCTGAATGACAAGAGTTCTCCTTACACTAAAGTAAAATGTGTTTTACATTTTATTGTGTTGGCATTGGTCCAAATTAAATAATCTGGTAAAGTCATTAAAGGAATTTAAGACTTTAAGTTCTGTCTTTCATTGTTCCTTCTCTCTGAGTAAACTTTACCACCTAAAAGAGCTTGTTTTTAAGATAGTTTATTTGGGTTCAAAAACTGTTGTTTAATGTGTAGCCTTGTTGCTTAACTGCACATCTTGTCAAATGTTTTACGTTTTCCGGTCTATCCCAACTTCTCCCTTCCTCTCGAATCTTAAATGAATGGTGACTGTTCAGTCATTCCCTTTTTTCCTGGTCCAACATAGCTTCTCACAAACAAACCCGGAGGCATGATAAAGATATTTTATCTTTAAACTGTTGTGACTTTTCTTTTGTATGCTACAATCTAACAGAAACACAAGGCTAGAGTTACATGGAAAAATAATCTTTCCAGGCCTAATGGAAATAACTTCTTGTCCATAGACCTATGAGTGAGTTGTGGATGAAAAATAGAATTATTCTCATCAAACTTACAAATTGCAATGTAACATTTCAACAATGATCTGTACATGAATATGCCTCATGTATGTCTTCCAGGTTGTGATAGTATAGTCAATGATAAACTACTGTCACCGGATAGATGAGAGGGTGTGGAATCAGAGTTTCATATGATCCTAATTATATTCTTTTTTTTGTTTTGTTTTTTTCTGCAGCTATGTGGTATCTTGATCCTAGCATTATCAATATGGGTACGAGTAGGCAGTGACTCTCAAGGGGTAAGTATGCAAAAACAAGTCACCCCTTCCCCAATGTAGTTTATTTCGTTTATAATCATGAAAGTATGACAATAATAGTAATAAACATGTCTAAAGTGTTTCTCTCAACTACTTCATGTAATTACTTATGCTGTTACATGATTTTATAATTTAAATCAATCCATCAAAATTACTATGTGGCTGGCACTGTGCTAGTGGTGGAAAAATCTTTCTAGAGAATGGAGGAGGTGTTATTCAAAAATTTCAAAAACATTCAGTGAGATGCAGGTGGGAAGGCGCCAAAGTGGACATTTTCCTCCTTTACTATTTGTTTAAGGCCACCATTTGTTTAAGGCCTATATTGAGGATATAGGCCACCTCTCCTTCTCACCAAGAAGAACAATTTTTATAATAGAAGGTATTGACAGTAATTTAGTTGATCCCAATGTGGTTGGTCTAAAAGGAAAGAAGATGAGAAGTTTTCTTGGAAAAGAATAATTTGAATCTGTATTTTAAAGGCAACAAGGTACAAGGGTAGTTGTTATTTACCTGTGGCAACTGGCAGTAAAGGTAACCGCTTGCCAGTAGTGGCTGATCTAACTCGGTGTAACTCGGTAATTCTCTGGGGATGTCCAGATTTTTGCTATATGTGTAAGATTAACATGACCCATTTTCCTCCCCTACACATCATTCCGTTCCCAGTGCCAAAGCTCTTACCCAGATCTACAGGACTGGAGGAAGCGTATTTCGTTTGGTTAATTCTGGCTCCAGCTATTGGACTCCATATGTGTGGTATCTGTTCCATGCCACAGTATCCCAAATGTGGGAAGAGTTGGGGGAAGAAGGAGGGGGCGAGTGTGCAGGGATTGTTCTGTCAGTTTTACGGAACATAATGCCACCCTGGCACCATTTCCTGGCTCCCGTGCTTTTATTGTTTTCTCTCCCCTCTTCTATTCTGGGGCTCCATCCCTGCAAATTATTATTGTAACACATTCAGAGCCATTTATTTGTTCTTTGTTTTCTGGGCTCTTGCCACTAAAGGATCACCTCTTCTACTGCTAGAGCCTTTTTAAGGTATTTGCCCACATAAAGAGAGTTATTCTCTGAGGAGAACTTTGATTCCAAGTTGATAATTACTGAGAGATTATTAAGCCAGCAAGTAAGACAATATATTTTCTACTAAAACGTATTATATCATGGTGCAGCTAAATGTCTTTGAACACGGCCTAGTGGAAAGAAAGATGAAAAGGGAATTAACGTCTGCTCTGTTTTCTTTGCTACAGTGGGTGGCTTTTCTGAAAACTTCTTTCTCACTCTATCTCTGTTTTTTTGCTTTGTTTTGTTTTGTTTTGTTTCTTCTCTCTCTCTCTCCTGTTGTTCTTTTCCTTCTAAAATTTGCTTTCTGTCTTTAGAAAGCCCAGAGAATCACAGTGGCAATTAGTGGCTTCTACATTCTGTGCCTCATCATGGTGGGAGATGGGTGTGGCAGCTGTTTAGTAACATCCTAGTCCATCAGGATTTCACTGATTGTTTTCTACTAATAACTGGAATTGTGACTTCCTGATGGCCTGGACCTCTGGTGTTTGAGCCCAAGAGGAGCATTTGAAAATGTGCAGAATTTCCATCCTATAGGATCTGAAGTCTGACTTTGGGACTCATAATTAAGCACAGAGATTAACAGTCACCTACTTCCAGGGTGCTTTGGCCCTTCAAGATGTGTGTGCAGCCTGCAATTTATTTTATTTTATTATTTTACTTCCTGTTGATATTTTCTTTCCTTCCCAGTGCTTCTAGTAAATAAATTTGGTGTTTAGTCTGTTAAAAAATTGTACATATTGGATGTATTAAAGGGGAACTGTTGTCCTTGAGAGGGTGCTACTCTACATCTGGGGATGAGAATGAATTAATAGAGTTAGACAGCACCTTTAGTTACATTTTGACTCACACTTCATCAGCCTCTCACCCTGAACAAAAGCCAGTGTCTGCCAGGACAACATTAACCAGCTTGACTTATATAAAATTGGCTTGGTTTGTATTTATCTCAAGCCAGTGACAAAGAATCAAGACTAAGCAAAGAGCTGAATTTTTTATTAGTGAAAAAAACAGAGGTAGCTGTTTTAGAAGGAAAAACATGAACATAAACACAGAAAAGAAGGATGTTAGGGAAATGACTGATCTTTCTGCTGAAGTGTCTCATAGGGACCCTTTTTTCTACCTCAGGATAAACTTAACACCATGAGGAAAAGCACATGGGCAGCCATCCTTGTCCCAGGAGGTCCCTTCTGATCCAAAGAGGATTCCTGAGTCCTCATCTTTCAGGCCCAGCTGAATTTCTCTGTCTTGAAAGTCTGCCCTTGTCCTAAGACACACAGGGACACAGTGTTCATTCAAGACAGCTTTTCAAACCCTGCTGTGCCTCCCCTGGTGCAAACATCAGAACTCAGATTTCCACTTCATTCTTGAATAAGAATAACCACTTGTTGGGCTGGAATGGGAACAATGACCACTAGACAGTCAATACACTGCTTTCTGGCTAGTCTCTGGCAGTGGGTCACCCTGCCCAGGTTAGCCTCCTAGAAGTGTTTCACTACCTGCTGCACAAGTGCTGGTCACGCTATCTTGGCCTCACGTGTAGATATTTGAACTATTATTTGTATGTCTGTGGTATCTTTTCTAAATTCTGATAACCCAGGTAGTGAGGCTTCCATCCTCTCACAGGGTTCGCCTGTACTGGCCGCAGTATTCTAGTGAAGCAATATTTAGCAGTAAGTCCATAGAGTTAGTTTCCTAACGCTTCTATTTTTGTCACATTTATTTTTATTCCAATGTCATGCCTGTTTATTAGCAAAACTGATTTTTTAGCTCTAATATTAATAAGAAAACAATAAAAACAAACAAACAAAAATCTTTAGGACTTAACCAAGCTTTCAGAATATGTAAATTGAAACATTATCTGTAGGCATAGACTTTTAAGAGACAAAGGAGGCCTAGCTATCACAGAGGTTGACCCAATTCCCTTCTATAAATGGGGAAACTGGAGCCCAGTAGGTTGGGTGACTGTTCCATATTTATTAGGACCCTGACAAAATATAGATATTTGTTTTAATGCTTTTATAACTTTAGCACATTCATTCCTATTGATTGTTGAATAAAAGTTTTCTCTAGGCAATAAGTAGAATTAGAAAGCCTTGAAAAACAAAAATATCATTAAAGCATAGCAGTCATTTTTGTATTGACTATTAAAGGAGCTGACCTCCATGCTATATAGCCCATTCTGGGAGGCAGAGGTTTCGAGTTAGTCTAGGAACTAGTGCTCTATCTAGAGAGAGCCCAGTAGATAGAGGTTATAGAAGACAAATGGGCTACATACAGGATTTATGCATAACACACGCACAAGGCTTTACTTTTTCATTTGATTTACTTCTGGATAAATCCACATATCAAGGACAAGAGGTAGACTGAGGCTAGGTGTTATGAGGGTGGTGAAGACGAGTATGTGTGTGTTGTTGGGAGAACTGAATTATGCCTGATGGGTAGCCCACCCACTATAAAGAACCCTAGAATTTTTTTCCTCTCATATCTCATTAACTAACAGTCAAAATAAAGAGTTTCTAGATGACTTTATGGACTATGGCTTCTGGGAACAAAGAGATAAAATTGATATGAAATATCAGGAACTGGATTTCTTTTTAATGAAGATACAATGCATTTTTATTAACCCATGGAAGTTCCCTCATGTCCCTTTTCAGTTAACTCTTGTTTTCCCTTCTGCCTTGCTCAAAGTCAAGCACTGCTTTGATTTTTATAACCATAGTTTTGCTTATGCTTGAACTTTATAGAAATGGAATCATACAGTATTTAATTTTTTATGTGGCTTCTTTAGCTCAGCATAATGACTCTGAAATTCATTCATATTTTTGTGTCTATCAGTAATTTAAAGAACTTGAACTTTTTAAAGAATTAAAAACCATAAGAACACATGCTTTATAATGCTACATTATGTAGAATACACAAAATATGTGAACCAAAGATTACATCAAGAAGAGTAAAAGTAACTGTCCTAAGCTTTTTAAAATAGGGTTTAAAAAAACCTATTACATTTCTTCTACCCAGCTTTCAACATATCATTTTAGAAAAATATAAGGTTGGAAACATTATTTGGGCAAATAGCACTTCAATAGAATGTGAGTTCCATGAGGGCCAGGATTTGTACTTTTTAAGATCACTGATGTATTTCAAGGTGCTGGCACAGGACTTGACACATAGTAGGCACTCAATGGATATTTGCTGAATGAGCAAAATCAACTTCAAGGAAAGAAATTTTCTGCCATTAATCTCTTTTTTACTTCAGATTTTAAATTCTACAGATGTGGGCCCTAGCTCCCATGTTGCTGCGGACATATTGATTGCTGTAGGTGCCATCATCATGATTATGGGATTCCTGGGATGCTGCGGTGCTATAAAAGAAAGTCGCTGCATGCTTCTGTTGGTGAGTTCTCTAAACAAATCCCAGTGTCCAACCTTCAGACTCCAGAGAATTCTCTCTCATCCCTATTGTCTGTTAAAAAATGCCATGATCGATGAAACTCTACCTCCAACTTCTCTTTAGAAGGTTTAAGTGTGTAAGCTGATCTGGCTTAGATTTGGCTTAGTTTGGCTTAGAAACTGGAGGATACTCTGAAAGGAAACAAATTTTAATCATTCATCTATTCATTCATTCACTCATTCAACATTACTGCCATACCTCTGTGTGTCAGATATTGTGCTAAATAATACATAAGACCTTTAGAACCTACTAGGGGAAGATTAATAAGTAAGCAAATAGCTACAGTGGGAGTGGCCCCAGAAACGAAGGGCAAGACAGGGGATGGGACTTTCAAACCAGGGCAGAAATGAATAAGGTATTTGTATGAGTGAGGGTAGGAAAAGCTTTCTGGAAAGCTGGTGTGCTTGGGAACTGAGAAGCCTTGGGTATGGCAGGAGACCGGCAAGACTGTTTCCAGTAAATGGTGGAAGATGAATCCAAGTATGGGTTGTGGTAAAATCATAGGTGTTTTACATGCCATGCTAAAAAAAAAAAAAAATTTAAATGAATGAGATAATCAGAATTGTCTCTTAGAGAGCATCGAGGAGGATTAATTGGTTTTGGATAATTCATAAACATTCATTTTTAACATATACAGTAGAAAATGGATATAGTTAAAATATTCGGAAAAAAATCAAGTGTTTAGCAGATACAAATATGACATAAAAGTTTATCAGATCTAATCTAAACTTATTCCTCTAATAAAGTAAGGATTATATCAGTACCTGAGAAAAAATGTTTAAAACTGTTTGATTATTGTGAGGGATGATAGAGACAGAGTTTTAAAGGGACTCTAATAACATTCCTACTGATTGCTTTTTGAAAAGCAAGGCCTCGTTTGCAATTGAAGAATTTAATTACTCAAGGAGCTTGTTTTTAAAAAAACTAACTGTCTTTGGGCTGCATCCTTCTAAATTATGATTCAGCGTATCTGAGGCCGATTTCAGGAATCTATATATGTAACAAGATGCCAGGTGATTCTGATAGTAGTTGGAGATGCTGTTTCAAAGCCAGTTCTGAGTTTGTGTGAGGTTGTGTTTGATGAAGAAAGGGAAGGAGTAAAATAACATTCAAATAAATTCATCTCAGTTTTCAGACTTCCCTCTAGTCAATATCATACAGATACCAATAGTTGTTTTGATAATTTTTTGCCTGAACCACTTTCCTCGATCAGTCTCTGGAGCAAAGTTTTCTGAGTAGTAAAGAACCCAAAATTTTGAGCTTGAAGTAAAAAGTGGAATAAATGAAGAGTGTGACTGACACTCTCACTGTGATATAATCCTGGCTGTAGAGAGAAGTGCTGTGCCAAAATGTCCCCAGGTGTTACTGAATGCACTGAGGATAATGTGTATTTCTTTTCCTCTTCTTCAGTTTTTCATAGGTTTGCTTCTGATCCTGCTTCTGCAGGTGGCGGCAGGTATCCTAGGAGCTGTTTACAAATCTGAGGTGTGTGTACAGATGTTTGAAAATTCGGAAAAAGTTTGAAAAATTGAAATACTACCTTGTGGCATGAATAATGTAAAATACTTTTCAATTTTCAGTCTGATCGCATTATCAATAGAACTCTCCATGAAGACACAAAGCTTTTGAGCACCACAGGGGAAAGTGCAAAACAATTCCAGCAAGCCATGGCTGAGTTTCAAAAAGAGGTAATTAGAATTCGTTGTTCATTTTAAAGAGTTGGACATAGTTCTTCTGTGTTTGTTTAGTTTTTAACGCATATTCCTTAAAGATTGAAAAATGTCTCCATTTTGCAGATTTTGATTGATTATTCTGTCACCATGCAATAAGAAATAGCTAAGATATTTGTAATTACTTTCTCACTTCATACAAAGTTCTGAAGCGGTTTTGAAGGACAGAAATTAAGAAGATACATTTATGAGAGGTTAAGCCTCGAATGAGTCAAATCAATAATAGTTTTAATATTTTCCATTTACCATTTAAAAGGATAGTGGGTCTGGGAATCTCCTCTTTCTCTCTCTCTCCTTTTTTTTTTTTTTTTTTTTTTTTTTTTGAGACAGAGTCTCACTCTGTCACCCAGGCTGGAGTGAAGTGGTGCAATCTCGGCTCACTGCAACCTCTGCCTGCCAGGTGATTCTCTTGCCTCAGCCTCCTGAGTAGCTAAGATTACAGGCATGTGCCACCACACCCAGCTCATTTTTTGTATTTTTAGTAGAGACAGGGTTTCACCATGTTGGTGAGGTTGGTCTTGAACTCCTGACCTCAAGCGATCCACCTGCCTTAGCCTCCCAAAGTGCTGGGATTACAGGGGTGAGCCACCGCACATAGCCTCTCTCTCTTCTTTTTAAAAAATAATGAATTATTTTGAGGACAGGGTCTTGCTGTGTCACTCAGCCTGGAGTGCAGTAGTACAATCATAGCTCACTGCAATTTCAACCACCAGGACTCAAGAGATCTTCCCACCTCAAGTTCCTGAGTAGCTAGGACCACAAGCATGCATCAGCATGCCTGGCTACCTTTTTAAAATTATTATCATTTTTGTAGAGAGAGGGGTCTTACTATGTTGCCTAGACTGGTCTCAGATTCCTGACCTCAAGTGATCCTCCTGCCTTGGGCTCCCAAAGTGCTGGGATTACAAGCATGAGCAACCATGTCCAACCTCTCTTTTTCTCTTTCTCAGCCTCCACCACTTCTCTGTCTCATAAAAATGGTAATAGCTAACATTAATTGCTACTATGTACCAGGTTTTGTATCCAGTAGCTCATTTAATACCCACAACAAACCTATGGATGGGTAATATCATTATCTTCATTAACCGTATTTTACAGATAAGGAGATTGGGATTTAGGGAGGTCTAACAGCTACCAAGTGATGGGTTGGAATTTGAACCCAGATCTGTCTGACAAGTCTATTATTTTTTAAATCAGTATACTATCCCCTCCTTTTTTCTTTAAAGTCAAAATATGGGTGGGCATTGAAAGTCTTCTACTCTCGGGCTCCTACCTAATATTTTAACTTTACTAAGTACTGCTCTCTAAAGAGTAAACTCTAGTCTAGCCAGGTTTGTGTACTCAGGGTCCCTTGAACAATTCTGCCTTCCTGCCTTTGCATCAGTTTCCATCCTTGGAGTGCTCTTACTGCTTTTTCCTCCTGAATATATGCATGTCATGGAAATTCACAGAATCTTAGGAGAGGCCTGAATTTTATAGGTCACTTAATCTGACTTCTCACTGATAAACATATTTTATATTTATGGTCATCTACCCTCAAATGAAATATTAAAGAGGTGAAAGTTTACTAATTTTTGCCCATCTCGCTTATATACAAGTCTGATGATTAGTATGTTATTTCTTAATTTGAAACAAAATCTGCCTCCCTAGGATTTACATCATTTAGTACGAGTTTTTCCAGAGTTTCAGAGGAAAAAAAAATTATTGATGCTTTTATATGTGATAGATTTTTCTTTGAGAATGGCTATTGTTCAACTCCAAAAATCCTTGCTTTTCAAGTGGAAACATCCTTGGTTTCTCGAACTGTTTATCAGATGCCTTTTTTTTCTCCCCCAGAGCATTCACTAGTTCCTATTTGGATAGACGCCAGCTTGTAAAAATTCTGCTTAAAGCATCATTTCCAAAAACTGAAACCTGATATGGGTCAGTCCCTGTTTAACTTCCTTTCTGATGTGCTTTTCCTAGCTCCCCCTAGTTGCATCCTTTGATTCTCTCCTTTCCAGGATCATTCTTACTCTAGAGCCCAGCTTAAAACAGGCTTAAAGCAGGAAGAATTTATGCAGCCTCAGTACCTCTGCTGGGTGGGGCTGAGCATCCCAGACCCGTCCCAAGGTGTTGACCTAGGACAAAATATACTAGAGATAATCACTGAGCCTCTGGTTTGGGTCCTGGGTAACATCTGCTGCACACCTCCCTGGATTCAAGGTCTCCGTGCCAGTCCTGGGTTTCTAAATGTTGTAGCTTGTTCTCCTGAAGTGCTCCTGCTCTTGTAAAGAAATCCTATGGCTGAAGTTCCTTGTGTTCGTAGGACTATATTTATTCAAATATTCATTATGAGTCTTCTTCTCCTTCTTTCCTTCTCCTTCTCGTCCTTCTCCTCCTCCTTCTCCTTCTTCCTTTTCTTCTTCTCCTCCATCTCCCCTTCTTTTATCTCCTGCTTCTTCTGCCGATTCTTTTTCTGCCTCCTCCTCTTGTTCTCCTCCTGCTCTCCCTTCTTGTCCCTCATTCTCCTCCTCCTCCTCGTCCTTCTTCTTCTTTCTCTTCCTCCTCTTCCCTCTGCCTCCTCCTCCTCCTTCTTCCCCCTCCTCCTCTCCTTCTTCTCCTCCTCCCCCTTCTTCTTCTTTCTCCTCCCTCCTTCTCCTCCTCCTCTTATTTTCTCCTCCTCCTTCCCCTTCCCCTTCCTCTTCCCCTTCCCCCTCCCCCTCCCCTCCTCCTCCTCCTCCTCCTTCTTCTTCTTCTTCTTCTTCTTCTTCCTCCTCCTCTTCCTCCTCCTCCTCCTCCTCCTCCTTCTGCACTGTGCTCTCTTTTGTAAGTTATGCTTCTTTGGGAAAAGAATCCTACCACCACAAACTCTGGCTGGATGACCTGGGGTCCCATAACACATTGACAAAAGCTGCAGATGCTGAGTGGCTTTCTCTTTGGATTTCAGGGATTTCCCACAAAAATTCCCTGTCAACATACTGATGGAATGCACCCCTTTTGGATTCTTGCTCATTATTGTTTGTCTAGGAGTGTTGTATCATTCAGTGCATACTGCCTTTTTCATCCAGGTGTTACACCACTTTCAACAAGTCCTGACCATCTTCTTCTTTAACTGCTCCTATCTCTGATGTAGTGACTTGATATCGTGACAAGTTTTAAACTTCCTCACTTCTACCCTCTCATCTGTGAGTATGTCTTTATGCCTCCCTAAGGAGTCCTGAGGTCTACCGTATTCCAAATATGAACTGATCTGTAAGTGAGAATATAAATTTTATAGTGGAACTTACTTTACATTTGACAGAGGATATCTGTATCAGTTAACACTACTCAAGATTATGTAATCAGAAAGAATAAACAATCATGTCTGCCATAGGAACAGGAAAGGAGGTTGTTTCAAGAGCACCCTCCTTGCTAGTACTGACCTTGAGACAAACTGACATTTCCAGCTCTCTGTCATATAAACATCTGTTGAGTAATGTTTTTGTGTAACTCAGTCTTTGGACCTAAGTATAAGACTTCATATCTGCCTCAGTTGAATTTGTTAGTTTATCTCTGTTATTTAAACTATCTTTGAAATTTGACTGTTCTCCAGCATATTAATCATCACTCCTAGCTCTACATAAACTACAGAATTGGAAAGATATATTTTCTGTTTATTCAAATCATTGATAACAATGCTGAACAGATCGTGTTCCTGTAAGAGCATAACAGAAACAACACCAACAGCAAACAATGAAAACAAAAACAATAAAAGCAAATGCATTATTGAGTGCTTTCTTCAACCTGGGAGTTCTTATCTTTACATGGATTTTCTCATGTTTATCTTTATAATAAATCTGCAAATTAAATGCTATTATTAGCAACTGTTATTATCTGTGTTTTACAGATGAACCAACTTTGGCACAGAGGTTAAATTAATGTGGATAATAAACATGATTACCTGCCCAGTAAATGAAAATTCTTTCAGTATCTTGGCATTGCAATGTATCAGAGCTGGGAAAACCACTCAGTCTTGGTTCTGTTGTTTTCAGCCATTTTTTTCCTCCCATTTCTACACGAAGTGTTTTCCCTCTAATAGAGCAGATGGAAGCAAGATGAAGGATAATTATCTTTCTTTCTCCCATCAAATAATATTATGTGCCACATGCCCTGATTCTTGGGGTTATCATTTCCTTGTTTTTCTTCCTGAAACATGGCTACGAACACTCCTTCCTCTCTTTTTTAGTGTTTTTTCCATGAATCAGTTTATTCTGGGGCTATAACTTTCCTGACATCCTAAGAGCTTGATTTTTCACTTTTGTTCCGTCCCATATTTTAAAGATGTTCATAAAATTCAATCTTATGGGAGGCTCCTTGAGCATCTATTTTGGTCTTTGCAATATCTCTCATCTTTTTCCTCCTGTCTTTCAAAAGTGATCAGAGATCATGGAGTGGAAATTTCACTTTTAAAACTTCACGTCTCTTTTGAGCAACAATTCTTTGACTCTCTTGTGAATTCTTTGGAAACCTTCTTGACAATATCTAATTTACATAGATCTGACTCTCTTTTGTCATTAAAAACTAGTAGGTGAGGCTGGGCACGGTGGCTCATGCCGGTAATCCCAGCACTTTGGGAGTCTGAGGTGGGCAGATCACAAGGTCAGGAGATTGAGACCATCCTGGCCAACATGGTAAAACCCAGTCTTTACTAAAAATACAAAAATTAGCTGGACGTGGTGGTGCATGCCTGTAATCTCAGCTACTCGGGAGGCTGAGGTAGGAGAATCGCTTGATCCAGGGAGTTGGAGGTTGCAGTAAGCCAAGATCGCGTCACTGCACTCCAGCCTGATGACAGAACAAGACTCCATCTCAAACAAACAAACAAAAAAAAAACTAGTAGGTGAGTTTTTCATCTTCCCAACTTCTTCAGATTTTTGAGTCTGCAACTCCATCTTTCCATCATTAATGTAAACATCAAAATGAAAAAATCCGTAATTTTTACTTCTATATAGAGAAAGGTGAAAGGTGACTTACATGGTATTTTAGCATAATAACCATTTTAATGATGATTTCAGAAGATTATAATTTAATATATTGCCAATGTTTTTAATCTTCTTACTGACTGCTTCTCATTCTACCCTTTATCAAACAGTTTAAATGCTGTGGTTTGGTCAATGGAGCTGCTGATTGGGGAAATAATTTTCAACAAGATCCCAAATTATGTGAATGTCTAGATACGCAGAGACCATGCACCAACTATAATGGAGAACAAGTTTACGAAGAGGTGAGAACTAAATCGCATTTGATAAAATAAGCAATTCTGTTACTTTCTTTTCACAATTAAAGTCCCTACAAAAAATTAAAATGTATCAAGTACAATGGGAATCATGATATAAAAATCTCAGAAATTTCCCAAAATAAAAAAATCCTTATTTAAAGATAAAAGCAGGTAGACTTCATGGATTCTATGAGTCTGGCATCATTTAAGTCCAATCTTAATAGGTCAAAGAAGCCTTCTGCTGCAATGGGAGGCAAAGTACAAACTAACATAAAAGTTTATTTTGTCCTCTCTTTGGTCATCTTAATCATTATTCTCCTTCATTTTTTCCTACTTTAACATGACTTCTAGAAAACAATATTTTCACTTTAATTTTCAAAGTCAATGTTTTTTGTTTTCTAATCAAATTTCCTTTTCTTCAGAAATGAGGTTTCTTCTTTGTCAAAATTTAAAAAAAAGAATTCCAAGTCCTTCCCAATACGTTTAAGGGTTTAGGTTCTCTATGTTATTGACAGCTACCAATTTACCTAGTTATTTCTGCAATTGAGAAGTTACCTTGAACATTTAAAGTCAATTTAAAAAGACAGGTTAATCTTTTATGTGTTGTAGAGGTCATATTTATGTGACTTGTGAATGTCAGTACATGGGTGTCCTAGTTCTTCTTATTGATCAATTCATCAAATACTTATTGACCACCTTCTATGCACCAAGCCTTCTACCAGTCACTGGAAATTCATTCCTGAACAGAGCACAATGTCTGCACTCATGGAGCTGATGCTTAAATAAGGAAGAGAGAAAGATAATTAGGCAACTTCAATCCGATGGTCTACTACTATTTCATGGATAGAGATGGGCGCAAGGTGTTATGGGACCCCATCTCACTTAGTCTGTGGGGTTCCGGATATGGCTTCATGAAGAACGTGACATCTGTCCCTTCGTCAGCTGTTCCTTCTGCTTAGAAAAAATGTGTTCAAAAATTACAATTGATACTAGTATTTCACTTATTTGCTGTTATTCTTCAGTGCCTACTACATGTCAGATGGAACCTTGCTAGGGTTAGACATACCTCTGAATCCTCTAGGAGATTACAATCTAGTTGAGAGGCAGATACATTAAAAGCCACTATAAATTCACAATGAATTAATCTTAATATCTATAATACCCAAATATTATTTTCAATCTAGAATTGTTTTGATTTAGTAACTGCTGCTGAGATTAATTTATACAAGGAAATAGAAAGTATCTCAGGGGAAACTACCCTCTCCTTGACTATTTATCTTTTTCACTGATCTTATCAAAATTAAAGAGGCTCTTCCCTGAAGGGGAATTGCTGTCATTAATACTCAAAGTATGTCACTAAGATTTAAAATAACTCAATAAGTAATCTACCAGACTACAGTGTTATACTGCGTTTTTCCTTGTCACAATAATATTACTACAAAAAGTTTGATTCTTACTTTTTGTATTCTCCCTGCTCCTCTCCTCCTTACCTAATGTTAGTGACATAATATTTACAAGGAAAAGGGGAAAAAACATAATGTAAATGAAGATAGTTTCCACTTAGGATAATGAGGAAATCAGTAAATTCAATTGCAGATTGCTATTTGTCTCCTGTTCAAATTCAACTCAAAGATGTTTTTCCTCAAGACAGATTCTGAAAAACCCCTGGAATTATCCTAAAAAAACTACTAGATAGTTTCTGTAAGTTCACACAATTCCGCTGAATATAGGCTGATAGCTACACCAGTTTCCCAAAAGGAAGGTTGTAAATTCATAAAATACTTCCATCTGCCATGTGTAAGTTGCAAGAAGTCTGGTAAAATGAAAAATATGGAATGGCCATAATTCACATTTCTTTTTTTTCTCTTTCTTTTGCCAAGATAACCTCATTATCTTAGGGGAAGAGGAAGAGAAAAACCCTTGAAACATAATGAATGTGACTCAGTAGATATAATCATTAATCTCATCGTTAACCTAAATGACATAATAATTTCCTTGAATGTTTACCACTTTGGGTTAAAGGTGAATGGAGAAACTCATTACAGTCAGGAATGAAGGGGAAAAGATGACTTAGCCTTCTGGAGAACTTTTATTTTATTTAACAAATAGCAATATTTTGTTGGCCCTTTGCATATATATAACCATCCAAGGGATAATATATTTCAGGGCAGTACAAAAATAACACTATTATATTGTGTGGTCTTATTCCATTTTAAAAATTCTTCCCATAATTTACAATTCTTGAAGTTACTAGGTCTAGTCCAAAATGTTTTAAGCATGAAAATGCATGCTGGATTGTATACACTTCAAAAATGTAGCAGAGAGGCAACTTCCTAAATTCTCTTTTTTATCTAAAGTAATGGCATAATGGTAGACATAGTAAGTTTTTTCTTTTTAAGATAAAAATAGTCCTGATAAATATTAAGGGATTTTGAAAATGTCTTGTTTTTTTCCGGCAGCGGTGACCTCAAGTCTGTTATCCCCACACTTTCAGAGGCTGAGGTGGGTGGATTGCTTGAGCCCGGGAGTTCAAGACAAGCCTGGGCAACATGGCAAAACCCTGTCTCTACAAAACACAACAAAAATTAGCCAGGCATGGTGGCACATGCCTGCGGTCTGAGCTACTTGGGAGGCTTAGGTGGGAGGATCACTTGAGCCCAGGAAGTCAAGGCTGCAGTGAGCCAAGATCGCGCCTCTGCACTTCAGCTTCAGTGCTGGAGGGAGACCCTGTCTCAAAGAAAAAAAAAAAAAAATGAAAGAACATACCTTGTTTTAAAAATGAAAATTTGCAATATTATTAGCTAAAATCTCAACCAGGAACCTTTCTGTTGTAGATTACAAACCTAAAACATCCTTAGTCAAGGTGGTATCAGCTCTAAAATGAATAAAGTTAAGATAAAATTATCATTTATACTTTTATGTTATAAAATGTATAGCTTTATCAACTATAAAATTTATAGTATAAATTATAAAATCTATCACCTGAGGATATGTTGGTGAAAAATCATTTATAATTATTAATCCCTAGATTCATCAATTAGGCAGTCAAGCAAAATTTTGTTCCTCAGTTGCTTTTTAATGTATAAACAAACCACAACAGTTACAACCTTTTGGAGCAAGGGTGAAGCAGGGAGTGGAAGGAACAACCCGGTTCCTTGTTGTTAAGTGTGTTTCTTGTTAGCAATGTAAAAAGTCAAACAAAAGAATAAAAATTTTGATTAATATAAGGTCGAATTTTTCTGAGGTAACTTTTAATGTTTTTGTTTTTTTTTTTCCAACAGCCCTGTATTTCTACCATAAAAGACTTATGGGCGAAAAGTTTCATAATAATTATTGGAATAGCATTTGGACTGGCAGTTATTGAGGTACAGTATAATCTTGTATTATTGACTCTTTATTCTCTTGCTTGTTCATTAATTTTAAGAAATATTGATGGTGAACAAACAAACAAACAAACACAACAACCATAAGAAAACACAGATGCTTTAGAAAAGCACTGGATGCTGAAGGCTCATTATCTCCCTCAGTCAGCCTGAGTCTGAGGAGGAGATTCCCGTCTTAGGAAGTGAGCAGGGCTGAGACTCTTGCTTTTGAATGACCTCTCTACCGGGAAAAAGAATTAATTTTCGCATAGTTCTTAGTGCCAGGTATCTTTTTCCCACTGAAAACTAGCACAAGGGTTAAAATTTTCCAAAGTTAGAAGAAAAAGCACCAAACAAAGCAAAATACGACCTTTACAATTTCTTATTTCTGATCTTGATTTTGAAACAAAATAAAAACTGAACTCAAGAGTGTGAGAAGCTGTTTTCTTGTTACTTATTATTACATTCTAGAGAAATCCAAGAAGTTCTAAAAAGTAGAGGTAATTACCTCTGATATCCTCAGCTTAAGTACTATTGACTCACTTGGAGAAATTTTCAAGGAAAATTGAGGCTTATATATTACTTTCATCACTTTAATTATTGATGTTGGAAAAATATCCCACATAGGATTTTTGTCTTGATGAACTTTCTTGGCATGTTTTAAAAAAAAAACAAACACCTGAAAGACACTTTTCACATGACCTAAATTTGCCAAGAAAATGAATTAAAACTGCTTCAGAGAAGCATTTTGGAATCATCCCAGATCTTGGGTAATTCTGATATCAAGTAGATCAAATTCACTCACAATCCTATTCCAGGACATTAGCAAGAATGTTAATAATATGAAGTATCTCCCTGGATAATGCCTGTGAGAGCTGGTTAGCTCAGCTGAGTGACTTGTGCTTCATGCTCATGGAATGCTGTGCAAGGTACTCCTTGGGCTTTCTGGTAATTTTCTACCTCTTACTCATGCCACATCACTGCCAGAAAGAAATTTTAACTGAGAATGAAGCAATTTGGTGGCCTACGTGGTTCTTTAGTTTGCTGGTGGAATTTCCCAGGCAACTATTAGAGAACGGTTAGGGACTATTAGCAGCAAATTAAACAGTGGGTTATTACTTTCTTGTCATCCAAATGAATAGGTATAAATATGAAGCATTCTTTGTTGGTAGGTTATGGCTATCTTTCTTTAGGTCTGATATATGTTCAGAGTCAAATGGTGCTATGGATTAGGTCTATTTCTCTTGATTCTGCATTTTGTAAGATGTATTTTGTTTCTCTGCTTTGTATTCTGGATTTATGCTAATTTAGAAATAAGGACTAATGGTCATGAAGATGAGTAAGAAATGAATGATTTAAATGAATCATTAGTGATTTTAAATGAATGATTTAAATGTATGAGACAACATGTTTTAAATGAGATATTTAATATAAGAGTTATATTTCATGTTAAACTCAAGTTCTGACAATTGACTATCACTAGCTCAAATCACAGATGCTCCTCAGTTAGCAAAACCAGAAAAAGTAAGGACATACTTGATTGGGGAGATAGATGAAATACTTTGTGTCATAGTCAAAGGCATTTTCAAGAATTTAAATACATCTAGTGGAAAATAAGATTACAAAAAGATTAATGCATTTCAGTATTTTATGAAATTGGTATATTCCATGTATTAATTACACGTTTAAATATTTTATTGGTTCTTCTAAAGACATATTCAGAGAAAAATAGCTCAATACAAACATTCTATACAGTAATTTATAGGTATGAAGTGTTTGTGGTACTATCATAAAACATAACTGTTTTTGAATTAGACCAAATTAATTGTGATTTCTAGACTATCTGCAGATATGGTAAATAGTTGGTTTAAGTAACTGAACTTTTTAAAATTGTTGTTCAGTTCCTCAATCTAAAACCTACCCTCCCTCTTTTAAAGGGAAACAAATCATTTTATATTCCATCTTCCTTTATTCAAAAAGTAGATTGGAAAAGTCTTCTGATACCCAGTCTATAAATTATGTATCCCAAAAAGAGCATTTTATAGCTCATCTTACAGTCATTAGTACAAGTTTTCTATTGCTCTTTGACTTAGGCCTATCTCCCTTCTTTGTTTCCAAAGTTCAAATTCAAAAAAACACAAAGATACAAAAACAGAAAATCTCCTCTAAAAAATACTTTTAAGAAAACAGAAGCAAATATCTTCCTGCAGAAAATATGTTCAGAATGTCTCCACAGAAAAATATCATATACAAAAAGACTGTCCCATATTTAGACCTTATGTTAGTATGTTTAGGCATAGGTTTTAGTGAGATGGGCCAATATTTGTTTCCAAAGCTCTGTTAGGATTATATACCTAAGGGATTCTTCTCACATTGAATGCTAAAAATTATGCAAAATACCTTATTCTGCAAGAAAAATTTATCTATAGACATTTTTGGAATTCTCATTATTCTAGCTTAAAACAATCAGACTATCAATCTTTCCTCATTTGACTATAGCAACTTTACAAGCACAAAAAATGATCAGCACTTTCCTTGCTTTAATAAAAAAAGAAAAACTACACACTGAGAGCCATCACTTTGTAGGATAGAAGTTATCCCAACAGGAGGTCCTAGAAATAAAGCAGTTAAAAGAAAAATGATAATTTGACATGTTTTTAGACTGCTGCATACCTCTTAGCAAATTTATCGTGAGTCTTGGCATACATCATAAAATGACGAATCTCTTTTAATTGTGTGCTATTTTTTTGAACAATGATAAATGTTTTTTTCAGGGACAATGAAATGCAACAAAGTGTGATATTAACTGTCTAGTCTCCTGATAAATGGTGGGCTTCTATTTCAAGGATGTAGCAGTGAAAGATGATAGTTGTCTTATCCCATTATTTTTTCCCATTAAAAAAAGTTCTTTCTTGATACTTGTCCCACAGACTTAAGGCTCAGCATCAAGGCAAAAAGACTAAATTTCAGTCTTGAATTGTAGAATATTTTGAATGGAAATTATTACTTTTGCAGAGAATTGGTGTCAACCATTTTAAGAAGGAAGAAGTATTGGTTAGCAGTTCTCATTTGAATTACATTTCCAGTAAAGTGTTAGTAAGCAGAAAGTCTCAACACAGTAGAAGCATTTAAATTGACTCAGCATAAATGGCACTTTGCCCTCCTCCGTCCTCCCTTCAAAGGGGGCTGGTGGGGAAGGAAACTTTCTATTGGTAACACACACAGGTCCTGTCTATCATTTCTATGTCAAAGACATAGCATGCAAGCCACCAACTGTAGAGCCAATTAGAGCAAATTTTGGGGTCCCTCATTCTTGGGAGAGCTACTTGAGATGGAAATTATGCCCCAGATTTTCAGTTGTGCTTTTTCACTTCAAAAGAAATTCCTGAATTAAGCTATTCCCCATAGTCTAGAAGCTTTTTTTTTTTTCCACCTCCTTTCTTTTTATTTACATGAAGCTCACAGTCTTAAGCTGTCCGCAATCTCTGCAAATAGTTTTTTACTATGTCTTCTCCAGCTTATAGTTGGTTACAGTGAGAAAGTAATCTGTACAATCTTATTTCCTCATAGCTGGAAGTGGAAGTTCACCTAATAACTCTAACAATAAATTACATTTATATTATATTATTTTAATCTCTCAATGACACAGAAGATTTGTACTTTTATTCCCCCATTTTAAAGATGAAGGCATTAAGGCACAGTGGGTTTCAATACTTTTCTTGTGTTACCCAGCTAGGAAATAGCAGTTCTGTAATTTAAACCAGGTCTTCTGACATGAACAACCGTGCTCATAACTATTACAATGGTAATTTCAATACCAAAAAAAGCTGCTGTTACTTTTTAATTTAATTTTCTTTTTGTAAAAAAGTAAAGTGGTAGTACATACTACGTAATAGTGTTTCTTCTTTTAGCATTAAAAATATATGTTTTATAATAAAATTCCATAAATTTGCCTGATCACAAAAACCACTAAGGACACTTGATTAAAATACACATATCCAATCATCAGAGATTTTGTTTCAATAAGTCTAGGGTGGGGCCAATACTTTTATAAATCACACTAGGAGACCCCTATAATCAAACAAGTTTGTCAAACATCCGATATAAGATATTTTTTATTGGCTGTGTAAGATTTAATTATGTAGATATTTTATAATTTGATTTACCTTTCTCTGCTAGTAGACTGTGGGGTTTGATGACATTTTAATACTGAAATAATACTGTGATGATCAGACAAGTGCACATCCCTGATTATTTCCTTAGAGAGCCATGGCATTTAAACTTGTCTCTCCAGCTCCATGATCGAGTTTCATATGCATGGGAACTAGCATCAGCGTCTCTCTACTGCAAATAATTCTAAGAATGTGGCCACTCAGGGATAAAACACAGGCTAAGGACTGGGGATAAGAAGGCACATAAAGCATACATAGGTAAATTTAAATATTTGTCTTTTTTCTAACACTTGTCAATTCATGTACGTTAAACACCCATTAGCATTATGCTAGGTGTTTGCTCATAAATCTCATTTGATCATCTCTGCAATCCCACAGGGAATATTACCTTTATTTAATAGATGAGTAAAAATTGAGTTTAAAAATATTAATCATCTTTAGCTAGTATGATAGTAACCGATATTATATTAAAGGCATACTATGGGTCAAAACTAAGTATGCAACTATTTTATATCATTTAATCTTCAAGATAACTATGTCATTAGGTGCATTTTATTATCATTGCTATATCAGGGACAATGTAGTTAATATTACCCTCTTTTTTTAGATGAGGAAATATAGAAGAGCTCAGAGTGATATATTTTGTTTAGACTGATATAACTAGTAAATGGCAGATGTAGTATATGGACCTAGATATATTTCTTTCCTAGACCATTTCTGTTTTGCAACACATTATAAATGCCTTCAATTTAGTCAGCGTCAAACTTTTATTTTATTTTCAGATGTTTAAAAAATTCTTCAAATCTTCTCTAAAACCCTTATAAAATGTGAAATTTTTAAAAGACAAGGAACCATCAGTAGGCTCATATTTCTGGAAGATGAGAGAGGGCAAGCCAGTGTTACCTGAACCTGAGATATAGATGAAGAATCTCTTTC